GTCATGTTTCCGTAGTGCCCTTCACTCCAGAGCATCTCCACAGCCTTTCTCTCATTTTGCATGACATTGACGTTTTCAAGAATATGCTTCATTCCTCCTTTTTTCTCTGATTTGAGATTTGTCTGTGAATTTCTCATAATCACTTTTAGGTTATACATTTTCAGCCAGAATATCCAAAAGTAATATTGTGTTTCATATTATAGCATCACATTCTGGGAGTACACAATGTTATTTGCCCTTCATTGGTGATTCTACTTTGTTTACCTAATCAAGGTGTTGTTTGATTTCTACATTGTACAGTTACAATCACCCTTTTTTGAACTAAGAAGCAATCTGTGGAGAATCAGTTTAAGAATATGAAAATATCCTGCTCATTTTCAAAATTTCTCCCCTGGATTTAGTATCCACTGGTGATTTTTGCCTGAATCATCCTTAACTAAGATGTTTATGAAATGATTTTCTAACTCTTATGTTTCCCTGCACATTTACCAATAAGTTCTTGGTATTCTACAATAAAAGCCTTCACTTTCCCTCCATTTATCTACTTGCTTATTTATCTATTTATCATCAGTATAGTACCATGGATTTCTATTTTTTCAGTGGTTTATATTTACATATGCCTTATTTATTTTGGCATTCAAATTGTTCCAGCTTTGAGGAGTGGGAGGCACTTCAAGCTTTCTCTCATCCTTACAACATACCATCATCATTTTTAAAACATTTTCTTATTTTCTGACATAAACAAGATGTTCCAGTATTCTTTGGAAAGTCCTACAACTCTCTCTGCCCTACTCTAGATTCATCCATTTCTCCAAGGAGTCCTTGTTCTTTTAGTAGAAAATGATATTGAGGACCAAGATCTGAACACTGAGTATGCTCATTGTTATTGGGGTGTTTTTTGCTTCTACCTCCTTTCAGCAGACAAACCAGGAAATATATGCATATATATATACACAAATACCCACACATACTTACATGTATGCAAACACATATGTGCATAGGTACACACATATATGTGGCCACATGTGCATGCATATACACATATCAATATTTTAGAAATCATGAGTTCACACTGATACCTCTAATTTGGAGCAAACCTCAAATCACTACACAGCCTCTGTCCTGTACTTTCATATGACTTAAAAAAAAGATTAAAGAAAAGAAATGCAAGACATAATCCAAAGTGACTTAGTGATATTGCCTCTGTTTTATCTATGATAGCTTTGCACCTCCTGCTTAAAATTTCTTCCCCTATTCCAGGGTCAACATCGTATGTCCTTGAAAATTCAATTTCGCCTTTGATCTATATTTGAGCACCTTTTCCTTGAAAAGACTGTAGTGGGGGCTTATGAGGAATAGAGCCTTGAGTTTCTCCAAGAATTTAGAATTTATGACTACCAACTCTTTTAAATACTTTCAGGTCATTCACATCAAATACATCAAATACTAAGACAGCAGCTCGTCTGTCCATCACAGGCAATTCCTCTTCTCAAAGGTTGACAAAGGAGGTTAAAGACTTGTAGGCAAAGCTTCTTCTGGATGGGGATACAAGAATGGCAGTGAGAAAGAAGGATGAGGTCCGCCGAATCTCTGGAAGTTGGAGTTGGGGAAGATGCAGTCCCTAGAGGAGGATGCAAGGTAGCTCAATGACCTTGCTCCCTGGTGCTGCAGATCTCCCTGGGGGTGGGGGGTGGTTCTCAAACATTAAGGCACCCCCAGCCCATCCTTGCCACTCAGGGACTAGAGTTGAGATGACCTGATTCCCATGGACTCTACTTAGTACAACACAATTTTTCAGAGGATTCCTGCTTACTAGTAGTCATCAGCTTTGGCTTTCCTGTATGGCAGTTGTGTTGAGGTAGCAGTATGTACTGGCTTTGAAACCAGACAGCACTGAGTTCTAGTCCTAGGTCCACTGTTATTAGTAAGTGTATGTTCTTGGATTGTAATAACCTCTCCAAACCTTAAGTTCCTTACTTATAAAATGGAGAGGCTGCAAGACTGTTATGTGAATTTCAGGCAAGAATCATAAAGCCATGGCACATGGTTAGGTCTTAGATCAGTGTAGACTTTCTTAAGAACAATACAGGGGATCATAATACCTATGTATACAAAGTCCTTGCATGTGTCCTAAGCATAATAGTGAGAAGTGTCTTTCAGAAAAGCCTGGAGCCTGATACCATGGGAGACCTGAGTGGGGCCAAATCCATCAGCATTCTTTTTAGGTTATCTCCCAGTGTGGATTGGCTCACGGTTAACAGGACTGTTTCCCGTGTGTATCAGCTAGAATTTTACAGTGATATAATGGTTTGGATTCATGTCCTTTGTTATTGAATTTTTTTCTACTTTCATAACTGAAAATGTACCGGCTCTTAGGCCATTATTATCCTGAGAACACCTGCAATATTGTGTTTTCTTTGGAACTTAAATGGCCAGATATTATATGGCCAAGGGCGAAAACTCAATTCAAGAAGTCCCTGGTGAGGTCCTCTCTGACTGGGCTGCTATCCTCACAGGCAGCATGCTTGCTCAAACAGTCTGCATTTCTCCGACTTCCCTGCCCAGGATTACATGTCCACAGACCCCCCCCACCATGGCTGGCTCCCACCACTGCCTGAGGATATCGGGCAGGCAAAATGTGACTTTTGTTCTTTTTTCTACCCAGTAACTCAAAGACCAGGGCTGTGCTGTGGATGGATGTTGCTGCAACAGATTCACATGGGCACACATCTCCTATTGCTGCCACACAAGAAGGGAGTGTCTCAAGCCAGCAGCCTCAGAACCTCTCTGCTTTCCCAGCACGGTTACTCCAACCCAGATGCCTTCACAAACTATGCGGAACACTTAATCTGTCACCCAGGTGCAAGGGGATGGGAGTGGAAGGGACTACGGGAACAACAGAAAGCATTCCCCACCTTAAGGCTTTGGCCTTGACACTAACCAAAATAAATGAATCAGCTTGTTGTGAGCCCTACCCTTACCTGAAGCCAGTGCTTGCTCTTTGCGGACCTTAACATGAAGATGACGATGTGCCAGAAAAGCAAGAGATGGGGTTCGATTCTTGGCCCTCCCACCAACAGGCTCAGAGAATGTTAAAAACCACTTGAATTCTCTAGGCCCAGTTTCCCCTTCAGCAAGATAAGGACATGAAGTCTCAGGTGAACATGAAGGTCCTCCACCACTTCTTGAGGCTCAGATTCCAGAGTTGTCCCAACCTACCTCTCCAGTCTCTGATCCTACCTAGAGGCTGACCTAGGTTTGGGGGTACTTGAAGCTTGTACAACTTAGGGAATCTTCTTTAAGAAAACTAATGCAAACTCATAAATATACAAGTAGATCAACAGTATTTACTGAAAATGAGGAAAAAAGAACAAAACATCAACTTTTAAAAGCCAACGAATATCAGAAATATTATAAAACCCAGGAAAAAATAATAAGATCTGTGTTAATTATGTGTTTGGCAACTGTATAAATGCTTGTATACTACATTTTTGGTGGCATAATCTTTGATTGTCTTTTCTCATGACAAAATTCTGTAATAGCCTTTCTACAGAGACAAAGATAATTCCATTTTTTCTGCAACGTGGTTATCAAAATGTATTTACTATGATAATTTAGAACACTACGACTTCATAGCTCATCATTGGCATTGTCATATATATTTTTAGTATTTTTGTCAAACTCAAAAAATCCTCCCTCATGTCTTTTATATGTCAGCTGTATGATTTCAAGCATTCATGTTTCCTTGGACAGAGTCTAATCTGAAATATTCTTTGTATTGTGTAACATTGCCCAGGGGCTTGGGAAGGCCTCTGCTCTAATAACTTCTTACCAGGTTCCCTGCAGCCCCACCCTCATACAATGGAGCTTCTCAGGGGTCCCTGAAACAAGGTAACCTTCACGATTCTGTGGCTTTGCAAATGCTGATCCCTCATTTTGAAGTGTCCCCACCCCTATTACCCTTCTTCAAGCTGCAAGCAGACTCAGCGACCTGTGCTCTGCATCATCCCTGTCTTTGGCTCACACCACTGGGAGAGAATCCTTCCCGCGCTGTTAGAGTTCTCTGTTCATTTGTCTGCCTTCCCTAATAGACTCAGATTCCCTCGAGGGAAGACAATGGGTCTTCCATCTGCCCAGCATAAGGCCTAGCTCAAAAAAGATGCTCATAAGTGTGTCACAAATAGAAATTGCTCTACATCATGAATTACAGGAATGCCACAGTTCTTTACCTTTCTAAAACAAAACTTATTCTTCTCTGAATCCATATTTTCAGTTGGTAATAAAAACAGCCTATTTGGTGCATGTTTCTCCCTGGAGCTCAGGCAACCCATGAAAAGGGGGGACTCGTCCTTGAGAACAAGTCAGCAATGGTCACCCTGGACACTGTTTCCCCTTCTGCTGCTCTAGGAGGTAACAGAACTGTCGTCCTCTCCACTCACCTTTGGCTGGCCCTGAGGAAGCCCCTCTCCCTGCTTTCAAGGTGGCAGCACTTGGTGGCAAACACCTATGCGACCAAAGTGGCCATCTTCCTTCTGAGGTACTATCACCTGAGGAGGGCACTGACAGGAGCCAGGGACAGGTCTGTGCCAACTGCAGAATATTTCAGACTCGTTTCCTTTAAGGGCCTAGAATCCTCCCAAAAGGGTTGAGTAAAGAAATCATCAGATTTGTGCATCCCCATCAGTCTCAGAGGAAAAAGGAAAGAAAGAAGAAAAGAAAAAGAGGAGAAGGGAGGGGAGGAGAGAGGAGGGGAGGAGAAGGGAAAGAAAGTAAAGAAGTTCCTGGGCAAGGAAGCCCAAAAACCCAAGAACACTGAGGCCTGGTCACCCTTTCGCTGTGGGTGAAGGATACAAGGCTTCTTCATCCATTTTCTAATGAGTCTGCTCAAGCAAGAGAAATATAATAATAATAAAATAAGGCACAGGTTAATTTCTACATTAATTTATTAACAGATCAGCCTGCCACAAACGTTTATTGAATGAACCAATCAACAAATGAGTTCTCATGGTTAGTTCATGATCATAAATCTTTTTTAAAAACTACATAAGTATCATTCAGGGGAAAATAAACAGAGTCCATCTTCTCACACTGACATAATCACCAGGTGAGAACAAGGATTAGCAGCCTTTCCCTCTCTGCCCTGGGAACACAGACGAGACTTGTTCGGCTGCAGTGACTGACTTTCCTTCAGAAAAGGGCTTTATGTTGATTCGGCATTTTGCAGAAAGTGCATAAGGCAGGTGAGGTCTTGCATTTGGCTTGCACTGGCAAATTTCACAGCTGTATTGTTACAGAAGAAAAAAACAAACACACTCCCTCACATCATCTGGTCATTGACTTATGTAGCAGAACAAAATGGCCCACCATGCTTTTTTCTAGTTAGCAGGATTTATTTCAATTCCTTTTCCTCCCCCCATCCTCTTTTTTATAACCAGTGGCAAATTACGAGTATTGATAAACCATTAGAAAATAAAATGAGACAATTTTATTGACAGCCAAATGAAGTAATGCCTAGGTTGTGTTGGTTTTCAGCAATTGAGCTTTTTGTATTCATTAAAACTCTGCAGGCAGCATGTGTTAAATTTTTGATATATGCAGTGTGAACTGAAATCTTTATCTATGTGAACAGAGACACTGATTTGCACCCCTGTTGCACCCTAATAGGCTGATTTATTGTGGTTTCCCAAGGTCTATCGATGAAGAAGCTTGGAGTTTTTTAGTGATCTGAATCAACTTCATCTCCAGGTGCAGCAGAACCCGTCAAGCCCAGGCCTCCCACTTCCTCCGCTGTCGGTGTGGCTGGATGGTGGGAGCTCCCGTGGGCTGTGCCGGGCCGGGCCCCTGACAGACTGGCATGTGAGCTGGGGACGGCTGGGACATCTGCGCCATTTCAGCGAATGGGATTACAAAGACATGTCACAGGACTTCCCAACTGTCTTCTAGGGAGAGAAACACCTACAAAAAAATTCTTACAAAATAAATACAAATAAAGGACAAAAATAAAACCCACAAAGCACCAATCTAGAGGGGCAATGGCCACTCTGTAATTATTAGCACATCCTTGACACCCGACTCCTGTGATGGCTTCTAATTTTCTTACTCCCCTATTTGAATTTAAGCCTCCTGTGGTTCTAGTTTATTCAGTGACATTCCTGTAGCATGCAGTCTGAGCTCCTATTATTATCAATGGTTGACTTCCTCACAAGAGGGAAAAGAGAAAAAAATCATTAAATAATTACTTTGTTTAACCAATGTTTATTACCATTAGGGTAATGGACCTTTGAGAATCTGATGAAGGCTACAACCCCTCCCTCTCTCTCCAGAAGGATACTTGGCCACTCACGAACATTACATTTTCAATACAATTTCAGGCTCCCCTAAATCCCTCCGGTTGGTGGCAGACCTCAGGGTAAGATCCCCTCTGGTCCACGCAGTGCCAAGAAACAAGGGTTGTTTCATTACTAGAGTTGAAGGGAGGGAATGGCAGGGATATGTGAAGAGTGGGGGAGCAGAAACTGATCCAATGGGATGAGATGGCCCTTTGCTCACCGTTCCTAGATATCCTGCTCAGTCAGTCAAGCAAGCCTTCCAAGAATTAATGTGATATACTAATCACTGTCCACAGCCCAGAATATATTAAAGAGATAATGAGCAATTTTTTTTAAAGCTACATAAAAGTGTCCTCCTTTCTCTTCCAATTTTGTTCATTGATTTATTCCTTTGGTTGACTGAGTTACAGAGTTCTCTTTACTGTAGCTGCCTCTTTATGGAAGGAGCTCAGAACACTCAGGAGCAGGCCTTCCTATCCTGAAGCTGACTGATCCCAGAATTAAATTATTCCACAATTTTGCTACCTTGGAATAGAATCCCAAGGACCTCTGAGCACTCAGCTGAGTCAGGTGGGATCACAAGAGGAATTGGCTGCTGCCCTTCTTGCGAGAGGAAGAGGGTGCTGCTGGATTTGGGAAATGTTGGCTATTTACGTTGCTCTTGTTATTTTCAAGGCATTTCTCAGCAAGTCCACCACCTGATCAGGTCTATGGATTCCTGGACAAACACTGATGTTAGCATTTCCACATCACGTACTAAGTTAGGTTTATTTTGCCTATAGTTTCAGTCCCCAGAAACCTAAAAGACTGCATCTCACCCTACACAGACATCTTATGACGTTTGTTGTGTTTTACGTTGTATGAAGGAAGTCTGGCGTAGAGCCAAATATTGCCATCAGGATTATGAAGCAGAGTCTATCATTAAATCCTGACACTTTGGCAGAATTCTAACAAGAAATACACTGACCACAAATTTAGGAGAACATGTAATTTAGGAATCAACAAAAAAAGAAACTGGTGACTCTGCCTCAGATGTGGTACAGTTTGAAATAAGACATGCCAAAATATCATACATCAAATGCGTGGAGAATTGAGTTCATGGACATGGTCATTCTTGTGTGTCTATGTCAAAAATATAATAAAGGTGAAGCAGACTAGAAATAAAAAATAAATTAACACATTCTTGAGGAGGCCTTAAATATTACTTTCATAACAAGAGGAGTTTTTTGTAGTCAGGTAAATGAAGTTATACATTTTAGCTTTGCCACTAATTGACTGTGTAACCTCAGGCCAGCTGCCTAATTACTTTGGTCTTTGGTTTCCTTACCTTTACAAGGGTAATAATAGTTACCGTATTTTTAGGACTGTAAGATGCACTGGACTTTGCATCTAAAACCTAGACGCACCTAGGTTTTAGAGGAGGAAAATAGGAAAAAAAATTTTGAAGCAAAAAATGTGGTAAAATATTTAATAACCTGTGACCCCACTCCACCACTGTCGTCCCCCCCCCCCCCCGCAGTGAGCCAGGTAAACTACATTTGGAATATAAGATGCACCCCCATTTTCCTCCTAAATTTGGGTGGGGTGTGCCTTATAGTCCAAAAAATGTGGTATACGTTGAAGGTAGTAGAAAGGAGTGAGCAGGATCATGTCTGTATGGCATTTAGGGCAGTGCCCACGAGCACCAAATGTTCAATAAACAGAAGTTGCCTTCTTAGATCACTAAGGACCAATGAAGAGCTGAATAAAAGGAAAAACCACAGGGACTGACAGGACATTGGTGGGCTGTCCAGTCTTCAAAACCAAATCAAGGAGTAGCAAAAAAACAAAAACAAAAACAGAGATTTGCCCTTCAAGGCCGTCTCCTTTGAGGTACTGTGGGGAGGAGCAAATGTGGCTTCTAATAAGAGATGAGAGTGAGCAGAGTATCTCCCCGCCAGGTAAGTTTCTAAAAAAAAAACAAAATAAACAGACAAAACCAAGACAAATTCGTAGATACAGAGAACAGACTGATGGTGGCCAGATGGGAGGTAGGTTGGGGACTTGGTGGAAAAGGTGAAGGGATTAAGAAGTACAAACTGGTAGTTACAGCACAGTCATGGGGATATAAAGTCCTGGGTGTGAGAGCATAGGGAATATAGTCAATAATACTGTAATAACTCTGTGTAGTGTCAGGTGGGTACTTGAAATATTGAGCGAAACACTAGGTAAAGTATATGATTATCTAACCACTGCACGGTACACCTGAAACTAATATAATATTAACTGTCAATTATGATTGACAAAAAAAAATTTAATTAAAGAGGGAGATAAGGGTGGTGGCAGGGAATGAGGCATTTCAAACTTACAACAGAAAAGGCAGAACAGTTGAAGGAATCATAAAAATTAAAATAAAACCGAAGACCTACTGGTTTCACAACAATAAAATGTAGATAAGTCACTTCAGAAGGAGAGACAAGCACTATTGAAGTCAACAGAGCCATCAGTGTGTGCGCTCAGAAGGACAAACACGGCGGGAAATGCTCTCAGTAAATGAAAATAGATCCAATTCACAACAAAAGAAACACTGTGGGCCCGAAGCCAGAAACTATTCTTGGACTGAATTTTTTATGACACTAAATTTAACCAACTGGAATTCTTTTTAAAAATAGCATTCTAATCAACCTTTTAAATGAAGAGTTTGCAGTTAATGGGAAATGTGCGCTTTATCACAGGGACGGAACTCCTGGTTTGGGTTACTCTTAAAAGAGCAAGACCCACATCATTGCAGATATTTTTCAGGCATGAGCGACGAGGGCATGCCCTTGCTCCTTTTCCCAACAACTTATGCCCCATGGTGAGTCTTCTCCAAAGGGAGGTCACCGGTCTTGTCTATGAGGATAAAACACATCAAGAGAAAAGGCATATTTGTAGAGTAAATGACTGGTATAATTAACATATTGTTAAGGAAGGACTTAGTTATCAAAAGCTAAAAGAGTCAGCAGTAAGATTTAGCAATGAAATAATGTGCCATGGGCAGCTTCTCAAATTCTTGCTTACTTTTAGAAATTATGATGGGCTAATCAAAGAGCACCCTGATCCTATAATAGTCAGAGAGAATAAAGGGACTAGTGTAGGACAAAGGAACCCAAATGATTCATTTCTGAGACAACATCTAATTCTGTTGCTAAAAGCATCAGCAGGTTAATTAAGAAATCTGTTAGTGATGAGGCTGGCACATTTTCATTTCCAGAAAATACTGCTCGTTAACACATGAGCATAACTAATAGTTGTTGAATAGTGACATGCTTTTGAAGAAAGGAGGATTAAGAGATGTCTTCTTAGCCCCTGGAGGACAAGTCTCCCCTTGCTCACCCTACCCACCCTATTGTTATACTGACAAGAAAGTAGCCCTCCACCACTGTGTCTATTGTCTGCTGAGGAAGAGACCAGATAGAGAACTCAGATTCCCACACTTTATAGATTTTAACCTATTCTATCTCTTTTCCTTTAGTAGTAAAAAAATAAGATATTCATAAACTGTATGCTATATCATTGCAGAAGCTTTTGATGGTAAGAAACAGAAAGCCCCAACTTAACAAAGAATTTATTACTGATTTCATCAAATGGAAAACACTGACTGTGACACACACCTTTGTTTTATAAGCCACTGAGAAAGAAAAAAACCTACCAATTAATATTAACACGATGCTCTCTAATGATTGAAACTTTATTTTCTACCTGTTGAAAGAGAATTGTAAAACTCATTGAGACAGTTATTTTAACCTATATCACAAATATACTATATGCTCTACAGCAGAAATATATGTATATATACAACCATAAATTAAATATGTTGGTTCACATTCTTAAAGCATTTTCACAGTGAGTTTAAATGTTCTGATATTGTTTTAAGCTCAGAGCCATCAATCCTCTACCTTTTCTACCCAATATTATCCTTTGTGATATGGTGAGCAGCATTTTTTGAAAAGATGGCTTCACTATAGCCCCTTGAATTTTCTTCTGAGCATTGACACTTTTATGGAAGTTTTGATGACGGTGCTTTCTCTGTCTTTCTAGAAGGTGTCCACGCAAGGTGTTCCAACAGAAAACAAGATCCCTGACTCCAACATCCTTCAGTGGTTTGTTGACTGAACTGTTGAAGGGCTGCCATTGTCAGTCCTGTCACTGGGACTAACAATCAAACTGACACATGAATAGGCAATGATGACAATGTCAGGACTGCCCCCTCCAGCAGTGATTGTAAGATATTATCATGACGAAGCGAAATACACTCTCATTTCAAAGATGTTGAACAATGAAAAGATAGTGCAATTTAAAATCAACAAAAAACATTATCTTACTCAACAAGAATTCTGAAGATGTGATAGCTCTAGAGCAGATTAATTTGGTGGCTCAGTGATGTCCTCAGGGAGCCAGACTCTTCACCTTCACACTCAAACTTCTTCAGTATAGCATTCAATATCTTGTGCTCAGTTCACTGCCTTGATGGGCCTAGACAGTGTCACAGTTCCAGGTGTCATGGGCAAACGTGTTGTCCAAAGGAGGAAGAAGGTACGTTGCTACTAAGTGCCTTTTTCACACTTCCTGGCTCCAACCCTTCTTCACTTGCACTTGCACTTGCTTCTAATTTATCTGGACCAAGAGTTGTGAACTTTGGCTCTCATTTTCTTTAACCATTCCTTCAATCTAATTTTTGCTATAGTATCTCAGGTTAGGCATCTGCCAATTCCCTCCAGATCTTAGTCTGACTTCACTCACAGTGCACAACCTCTGCCACATCTGACGAACATTTGACAAACTTCACAAGCCAAAAAGAGCCACTACGGGCTGATGGCCTAAACAGCCGGCGTTCTCCGAAGTGCGATTGGCAGATAGAGAAATGCCCTTTCTCCAACCTCATTTCCTTCCTTCCTTCCTCCTTCCTGCCCACCCTAACTCCACACTTTCCTTGTCTTCTTCACCTCCTTCTTCAAAAGAATGTTCACATTTTAAATCCTTAACAGTGTACAGGAAATGTAGGCTTATTCTAAAAAATAAATGAGAGAAGAATGAAAACCCAAATTGCTAGTGTTTCCACTACTACAAACACATCACAGTCAACATTTTGGTATACTCCCTCCCAGGTTTTATTTTTATTTTTCCTATTTCCAGTTTTGTTTATTGGTTGATTTTTTTTTTAAGTTTTGGTGGGTTTGCTTATTTTTGCTTATTTTTGGTGGGTTTGCTTGTAGATTAAAATCATCAAGTACTTTTCTTATCTACCTGTGGAAATTATCTGTAAAAATTATATCATTAATAATTATATATAGTATTCATTTAAAGCAAAAATAGATATCCTTTTCTCCTAGACTATAATAAAATGTACAAATATTTTTAGTCATTTTTTTTTTACTTTCCCATTTTTTTAATAGAGTCCAGGGTGTCAAACTCATTTTCACCAGGGGCCACATCAGCCTTGAGGTTGCCTTCCATTGGCCAAATGTAACATTAGGACTGTATAAATGTAACTACCTTAACAGTTAAGCGAGAAATCAGCACTGCCACTGGGCAGAAACAAGGTGCCGGGCCGGATAAAACAAGGTGGAGAAATGGATTTGGCCCACAGGCCTTGTGTTTGCCACCTGTGGAGTCGGCACTGAATAGAAGTATACTGAGTGGATATTTCAAACTATAAAAAAAAAAAACAGATAAAATTAAGTAAACCCCTTCCTCACTAATTAGAAATACTTTGTAGTATTGCTTAACCTAAACTAGATCTCTTATCTGCTCAGGTTTGAGTAGAAGTCTCTATTTCAACCTAACGGTCTTTTGCTTTTCTGTAAATTTGAAAGCTGTCTGGGGGCACTGACACAGTTCTGGGGTGTCAGCCCCTTCACACATGTGGCAGCAGAACCTGGCACACAGTAGGTGCTTAAAACATGTTTGTCTTGCAGCTGTCTGTTGTTCTAGACCATTCCTTCCCTGAGTGAGGATACCTTGATTTTGAAGTGTCTTCAGGAATTGTACCCTTCTTCCTTAATTACTTACACTCTCCTGACTCCCGGTGCGAAAAAGAAAGGTGACTTCCATATCCACGTGTCCACTGACTGAAAAGATATTTAAAAGTTGCAGCACTTTCCAACAATAGAATAGAAACTCCCAAAGAAGAAGGAAAGTTGATCTTCCCAAACAAACAAACAAACAAACAAAAGACATCCTCACGAAACACACACGCACTCTCCTTATAGGAGGTGAGGCCCTTTCCTGTGTTCATGTTCCTCTCTAGTGTTGAAGTAGCCAGTGAACATAAATTGTTCCAAACAATACTTGGCATTGTAAAACCAAGTTTTCTAGAACACTCTTGAAGAATTTTATTCAAATGAAAACTTATTTTTCAAAAGAAATTAAAATCATTGTTAGCGCTGCATTTTTCTTTGTATTTTCTTGAGCATTCTTCCTTTTAGTACAATACACCTTTTTAGATATCCCCAAAGATCTCTAAGTTTACACGTAACTAAATTTCCTCACATAGATAAAGGCAATCAGTGATGAAGAGATTAGCAGACAGGGACCCCTGTTCCCATCCTCAGGGACTGTTTGTTTGCTAATTTGTTTAGCTACTACGTACTCCCACCATTAAAATACATGGGCAGACAAAAACGACTTTGCTACATCTGATAAAGCGGTAGCATGCATTTCTTTAATCTGCTATTCCCAAAGCTAACATTTGAGGGAAGTAGGTTTTTTAATCCAATCTTCAGTGTGCCCAGCAGCCAGCCCGCTAGTGCTTACAATCCTTTCTGAGTCATAAAGGCCAATCGTGGTTTGCAGCTACTGCCACAATTTCAGAGAACCATAGAATTTTAGAGCTGGAAGGGAATTCGGATTATTTGTGACTTGACCTCCTTGACACTTTAAAGCCATTATTTGAAAAACATTATGCTCTGTAACTTTTCTGTTGCTAAACCATTATACTCTTTGACAGAAATGGGCAGCTTGTTAAAGATTGTTTGGTGGAGTCCCTTTACACTCATAAAATTGGGTGAATTTTTGAGCCTTTTGATAAACACTGATCAAGAAAGTATTTTCTGCAAGTGAGGACATGTGAAGGGGAGGAAGGAAAGGAAACCAACCTTTGTAGAGGTCCTAACAGGGGCCAGGTGACCAAATTATACCATCTCTTTTGAAATTCATCTTCAAAGATTGCTATTGTCTGCATTTTACAGACGAAGAAACTGAGACCCAAAGAGGTTAAAAGTAACTTGTTCAATGTCTCAGAGTTCATGAGTGACAAACCTGGGATTCAAAACATTTAAACTCATGTGTATCAGGCTGCATAGATAACGAATGTTCTATTTATTAGCCCCAACTGCTCTCCCTGAGTTTTATCCAAATGTCTGAATGTAAAGCACTTTGTGAGCCTCCACATGGCTTCATGAGCATGTAGACACTTCCCCACAGGTGAATCTTCAAAGCAGCATGTGTGAAACTCTCAAGGAAAGGGACTCATATTACCTTCGGTTTGCCTGCACGATGATGATAACTCGATGTGCCTTGTGCAACGGTTCCTTTATCTCAGATAGCAACTCTTACCCTTCAGTAGCTGTCTACTGCTGCTTTCTGCCGAAGACTCTACCTGCAGACTATAAAAGTTCAAGGAACAAGACCAAGGGCAGATGCTGAGTTTTCACAAAGACATCTGATAACAAGGCCTTTGACACAGACAGGCAGTTTGATGGCTTAGAGGGCTTTCAGACCACCCAAACACAGGAACAGGTTTTTCCTTGAAGTTCAAGATGGCTCTGAAATCAGCACTGCCGACACAGTCCAGCCATTTGTCAGCTCCAATTTACTCAGAGGACAAAAAGAAACAGTGACCTTCTCCCCTCTCCCTCCCTCCAACATGCTGGGGGTGGTGAGGAGAAAGCAAAGTTGATGGAATTTCCCCTTTCTGGACCCAGAACCCAGAAATAAATAAATATCTCTGCATTTTCTTTTAGCACTCTAAAATTCTCACGATTGCTTGCAGTTTTGTTTAGATTGGATTCGACCTCATTTGGTTTTTCCCCACTTCTCTCTCACATTGTCACGGCCAAGACCACAAGGTTGGGTGCAGAAAGCTGCTTGGGAAATGTGAAGAGGCATCAGCCCAGGTGTTGAAAATAACATAGCTGGTCTCCAAGGTGATTCCGAAAATCAAAAGTTAGTAGTAAGGTTGATGTCACCGAGTATGAATTCTGTTCCAATATTCTTTGTCAGATAGGCACTTAGTCTCAATATTTCTTTAAACTTATTGATCTAGTAAGACAAAGTCATACCTCATGGCTCTTAAGAGCATGGTTCTTCACAGTACAGGCCCTGCGATACTCATGACAGATTATGTTCTGTGTTCAGTGAAAAATTATTGTAGCTACTAAGAAAGATGTATTTTGTTTAATTATCTTTTTATTCATAGACATCTTCCTTCTCTACCTTATTTTACCACTTGGCTCTTCCTAGGCTGAATGCCTGACTATGTGACCATCACAAATCCTCATCTGTTTCTTTCTTGCTGTCTCTAGCACCTTCCTTCGCCCACATGCCTGCTTTAGTTCTGCTCATCTTCTACAAAGAGGCACGTCTGCCATTCTCCTTCAGTACAGAGCACGGTAAATACAGCACAGTGCTTGCCTCTGGGGTTCGGTGCTCACTGGCTCTGCAAGGGTTACTCCCTTTTACTTAGGCAGATAACTTACTTTCCTTAGGATTACTTACTTTCCTTTACTTTCACCTTTTTAATTGCTCTCTCAATACATCCAGCCAAAGTCAGATCACGTTTCTAAAGACTCTGAGATGTGTAGCTGGTAAGCAGCAATTTATTTTTCTCACCCTTGGGAAGTGTGTCTTGTTGATGGCTTTCACTCAGTGACCCAAATAATAAGTTCCTCTGGTGCTGCGGATGCCACAGGCTGAGAAGGTTTTCCTCAGGTAAACCGGAGAGCGCACACAGAAGCAGGACGGGTTTTGCCAGGCAGCCAGCTTGTGTCTCCATCCAACTACAAATGATAAAGTAGGGACATTTTAGTAAAACTAGATAGGCTACCAGACAAGAAAAACCATTAATTAGGGGATGGGAGATGAGGGGGGTTTTTTTGTTGGTTTTTTTTTTAAACATGCTTGTTAAACCACTGTGACTCTAGAATATGGAAATTTTAACATGTGTGGCTTTATTAGGACATATTTAGATTTTTCAAACACTGGGCTATTTTTTGTTAAAGTTCTTAACTCAGCAAAATAGGGATGCACTTGACCAACCACTTTTTCTGCCTCCAATTTAAACCCATTTTTATTCCAAGAGAAATTTAATCTGTACATTGATGAGTCACTTGTGCTTAACTTGTCAAAATGTTAAAAGCTGTTTGAAATAAAGGAAGGCTTTGGAGTCCTACGCTTACATAATTTTCACTCCTCAAATCAGAAAGCTGTGCTTTTGCAGAGAATCAACAGTCTGATACTCTGTGGGCAGGTGCATCAAACACGAGAAATCATGGGGCTCAGAGGCATCATAGCTGTAGTGCTGTTACCTTGAATTTTAACATACAGGCATACATATGTACATAACACAGGCTTAAGCAAATTTTCTCCAAGCATATCGTACAATTTAAATGATGACTTATTTTAAATGGAATTCCTAATTATTCCTCTTCTTGCAGGGCCACTATGCAATGTTGTTCAAACTGTATACTGCACAATTCTGGGAAGTACCGTTCTCAAAAACAGTACAGCCTTCACAGTGAGTCTGCTTCCTGGCATTCTTAAATCTTGGTTTTCTTTTTGCAACTCAGAATTCAGAAAAGAGCATCATCTAGGGATATCACCAAGCTGCAGTATCTTTATTGACTATGCCAAAACTTCTATCTTAACTTGCCAAATTTGCAAGGACTTGCAAGGGCCTTGTGCACATTAATTTAAGATAGATAGTGACTGGTAAATTTATGATCAGGCTTTGGGTTTAAGTCCATGTTCAGTTAATTATATCTAGATGTATGTCTTTGGGAAGTTCCTTTACTTCTTGGAACCTGTGTCTTTGGATTAAAAATTGGGATAACTCTATTTATGTCTGAGAATGTCAGTTGTATGGGCCTAACCAATACACCGTGGCAGGGTCACCCCGAGTGTTCGGTGTGAATGGCTCACAGAGTACGTTAACAGAGGCAGAGCAGATCCAGAATGTTTGAAACTGTCTGGCAGAAGAGGAGAGCAGTTCAGAAAGTCTTTGGAAATGGCCAGTTGGTACAACAAACCTGGACTGATCAGAGGTGGCATAGAGACTGGGGCAAATCAGAAGGAAGAGATCAAGAACGGTGCCAGGTAGCAGAGGGAGAAAAGGGAGCTGTGAATGATGACAGTGTGAAGTGCTCTCCTTTCACAGGAGAACTAGCTCACCCTGTTCCGCTCTCAGAAGGGCTGAACTGGGGCAGACAATTATAAGAGCTGAAGGATATGCCACGTTTAATGTTCCCAGCACAGCACCCGAACCTCACATGAGATCAATACATGTTAGTCCCCTTTACTCCCTTTTAGGGCATGGATCCATCTTACCACATCAAAGCATTATGGAGGACCTAACTTATCAACTCCTACTTGACAAACATAGTGGGCATTGGTTGGGTTTTCTAATCTTCCCTCCAGTGTTTCCTTTTGGAATCTGCCTTTCCTCACTCCATTTCACTCCGGAGGGGCTCACAACCATAAGGTCCTGTATCGCCAACCACAGGGGAAGACACATAATCCAAACTGAACAAACAGTGCACACATCTGAAACACGGCCAATCAGAGTACTCTTTAAAGAATTAATTGGATGATGAGAGAAAAAAGACCTCTCTGCTTCTGAGATTGCAAGCTGAATGGCTCACCTGAACTAGAAACAGTTGGGGACTAAAACTAAGGAAATCAGAGTCAACATATTTAAAAAGAGATGGATAGCACCTGGATCCTACATGCTTGAAGCCCTAGACTTTTCAGTTACATAAAACAATTAGTGCTCTTCTTTAACTGAATTAAATTTGATGGGCTTTCTATTCCTTACAACTGATAGACCTGACAACATTATGGGGATTATCCTTGGCAATTAAATTGTACTATAGAATATATAAAAAATATCATTTTCCTATTTTTTACTGCTGATATTAATCTATTTTTAAATTAAAATAACTAAAATTAAATTGAGCATTTCTGTGCTTGAACCATTGGACCAATTATTAGGATTTTTTTTTCAGATGTTCCAGGCACTATCATCTTTCTGTCCAGGTGGAAAGATGAGGGCATTGGCAGAAAGCTGGGTGCTGTCCCAGTCAGTGAGAATATCACAGGCTGATGTGGCCACAGGCAGTGTCTGCTTCCAGAGTCTCCTGCATCAATCAGGAGAACAGGGTTGATGGTCAAGCTTGTGTCAGGGCAGTGGGGCCTCCCAAAAGTCGATGAGCAAAGTTGAGCTTCAAATAACTTGTCTTAACAAAGAAGGAGGTAGAAGCCTACATCTAGAGTCTGGTCATGAAAACAGGAAATTGGAAAATCAAAAGTTAGAGATTAGGGGACCAGTAGATTCTGCAGGGAGAGCAGGAGGGGAAGCCGGCATTAAAGCCGTATCATCACTGGATCTGTATGCTCTCCAGGTTACCATAGGGATTAAGGACAGTGGCATGAAAAGGCCAGGGTGAGAGCAGATACTTACAGGCTATGTCAGGAAATAAACATCCATCCATTTACTCATTTGTTTATGAACTCATTATTTTTATTATAATCAGTCCTATCGGAGCATTTGCAATGTGTATGGTGTGGTACTAACAAAAGAATAAAGAAAAACACAAGCAGTGGTCTTTGCCTTCTAGGAGCCACAGCCTAATTAGTGCTGTTTCTATGTGTGCACAGGCAGCTAGCATATCAAGCAGTGTGTGATGGTTAAATGTCACCCAAAGGTTTCCACAGCAAAGGTTGTGAAATTTCTAGGGAGGCAGCCATTATTCTTGAGAGGTTAGGCGAGCTTTCTTAGATGTGGGGGGATAAAGCTGGGTGGGTGGTCACTACGATGAAGGGAACCACGTGGGTGTGAAAAGCAGATTGGGCTCTAGCACTGCACTCATTAGTTATGAGGTTTGGGGCGAGGTCTTAGCCTCTCTGCATCTCATTTTAACTCCTTTGTAAATGAAAAATAATATTTCAGATGCCCAGAGTTGGGGTCAAATGAAATAAAATAAGTAGTTCTGGGCTCCAACAGCCTCAAAGCGGTCCTCACATGGCAGAGTGGCTCTGGAGGAGCAAAATGACTGGGAGTAACAAGAAGAGATCTGTGAAAGGGAGTTAGGAACAATCTAATTGGTGAGTGGATCCGTAATCTTTCCCATTTTGCTTTGAAGTCTGTTTGGACTCTGCAGTGCTGAAAACCGGATCCCGAACCCCTCCCCCTCCTCCAACAGCTCCATGCTCGCAACATACCAGTGATCACCCCTCAGTAATTTAGCCGTCCCTCCAAGGAAAATGGAGAAGAAACTCTGAATTAATTGAGAGTAAGTTTCTGGCACCAGGCAGGGGCTCAAAATAGGAATTAAGTTATTTTAGAGCAGGTGAAAGGTTACATTGCTCGGACAATGGAGTTTAGGAGTTACAATTCACACCAATGGATATTTAAAGCACTCATAGGCAATCAACATATATTTGTTCTCTTTCTCTTTTTCCCTTCCTCAACATTTCAAGGAATGGATATAATTCTGAATGGAATCAATGGAAGCAGAGCCATCAGGTATGGGTAGCCTCTTACAGATCTGCGTTTATGGCTGTAAAAATAATTCGAAGCACATGTTTCTCCTGATGGCAGGAAAGTAATTTTACTGCCACATAGAAAGAACATCACATTTTTAAAAAATCATTTCTATATACTTCCATCTATGGCCTCTCATACCAGAGAAGTTAAAAAAATGTGATTTATCTGTGACCAGTTTTTGAAAGGCATGACAATGGAACCAAGTATCCACTTATCTACAAGTAGAGTGTGTGTCCTCTAGGGAAGAGAAAATGTCTTTCTCTAGTGACATTTAAGAAACTGGAGGGGACAGGTATCATTCAGTGTGGCTTGGCTGCAGAGTCACCCCAAGGCAGTGTCACAGTTGCTGAGAGCAGGGACTGGGACAGCTCTTGGGGTTGGAAGCAATGGGTCAGGGCTGACAGCAGCAGCGGTGGCTTCATCCTCCCCACCCCGGTCTCCCCGTCCCAGGCACTCCCGGCCCCGACCTTTGCTCAGTCACATCAGACAGTGAAGTCAGCTCCTCTCTCTCCCTTTGACTTCCTCAATCTGTCCCTAAGGTTGACGGGAACACAAATCTCAAATGGCTCCCCAGATAGAAAGACTTTCCATGCAGAACAACGGTGAGAACATCGGAAGCCTTATTCCTGACTTGCCTGAATTTAATTTCTTTAGCACTAGATGCCAAAGTTTTGTATTAGACGATAGGCAACGTGGAGTCTGCGTTCATATTTTGAGCTTGATTTAATGTAGGCAGATAAGAGATGTTATTATAATTTGAAAATGTCTTCACTCCTTATTTATCTAGCATCATCACGAATGAAATGTATATGAGTTCATGTTACGGATAATTGGTCTTTACCCTTTAAGCATGAACACTTCCTTTTAATCTGAAATGTATTCCATTATTCCTTCACTTGATAAATACACCCTGTTAAGAACTCTTACCACACTTTTTGGTCAGCCAGGGCCACTGAGTACTGCTGAACTGATTTTGTGCAGGTGAGGAGGGCTGGGCCATAGGTTCCCCCTCTACACTGTCTTCAGGCCCTTACTCGGGTCTAATCTGTGAGACATCCGTCACATCCCAGGTTATAGGATTGCACAGACAGAATCTCCACTGGGCCGAGTCAATATCAGCTTCCTTTCTGATAGTAACAAACTAGGAACCATTCTAGGGGAAGAGTGGGAGAGCGAAGTCTGGGACCCAACCAGCCTTGCCAGGTAAGGAATGGAGGGAGCTCTTTGAAGGAGGTGAGAGTAAAATGTCTTGTCAAATTTGGAAGTCCATTGCATGCTGTCTGCTGGCTTCAGTTTTTACTGGCCCTTCTACAACCAAGGTCCCTTTGCCCCTAAAGTCTTCTTAAAGGGTCGCATGATTTCTTGACATTGACACTGACATGATTTTTATCCCATCACAGGTGGTGGATTTGTGACGTTGGGTCCACTAGAACCTCCCTCACTTCTCACCGCTTCCAACCTGATATCAACTGCGATGGAGAAAGAATGAAAGGTGCCAGAAAAGCTCTCTCACTCCCCACACGCACCACCAGCACCGATGCACAGCATCCCAGAGCTTTCGACATTGTCCTGATTTCACCTGCACTTCTAATTCAGTGTGTCAGAAGCTGGCTGGGCAACTCTGTCCCCTCATATACCAAGGGACCTGGCCTTGGAGAGAATTATTTTCTCCCACTGCACCAAAGAATATTTCATTTTTTTATCAAGTCACAGCTACATGCCAGGCAATGCTTCTAAAGGTTCAAAACAAAACAAACCTCCACTCCACAGCCGGGGTGGTTTTTTCACATGCAAATCTGATCCTGTCACTCCCCTTCAGCAGCTTCTCACTGTCCTCAGAGTCAAGTTCAAAATGTTTAACAGGTCATTTGGGCCCTAGGGAACCCTCCCCCTCTTCTCTTTAGCCTCCTCTCCCATCAGTCTCCCTCAATCTCTGTACTCACCAGCCAGGGGGTACTATGTCCAGGCCCTCTCACTAGCCCTGCCCTCCCCTGGCCCAGGGCCTGGACAACCACTGTTCCCTCCACCAGTTAGTCTACCTGCTTCCTTGACAAATAAACAAATAGAAACAAACACTCAACTTTCTGATCTCAGCTCAAATGTCAATGTCCCAGAAAACTTTCCTGACCACCCCCCAAAAGACTAAATCCCCTTGCAGTAGCTACCCAAGACCTGCCCCAAACCCAAGGCTCATTCCTCTTGGAATTATGCTCTCCAAGTTCCTCTCTCCGCACTCTGTTCCATGGGAACAGTGACAGAAGCAGATGCAGATTTTGTGGTGCCTGAGCTTCTACAGTGGGGAGGAGACAGGCTCTTTAGGAAAAACAATACAAAAATACCTTGCTTTGCATATTTTAGGAAGAACATACGATTGATCCTGTGAATCCTTTTCTAAGGCCTCTCCAGGGCCGCAATCGAGGCTGTGCTCTTGAGGGAACCTGAGGCTTCTGCTACTTTATTTAGCTTCATGGTAACTCTTTCTGGGCAGTGACTATATTTGTCTTGTTTACAGCTTTGCTCCAGGCACCTGACACAATTTTATTCAGGTTATTATTGTCTATTAATCTTGTAATCACTGGATGAGGAAAAGGAAGAACTGGAACATCTATTTTTTTCAAAAAAAATCAAACCAGTACATATTTGTACACAATCCGACCAGGAGTGCAAGAAGCAGATTGGCTCTCAGAGGGTTGAGCAGATCTTGTACGAGAAGATACCTGATCCCTTTGCTTCCAGGAGAGATGGTTCCCAGACGGGACTCTCAGCGTGGGTGGGGGGGTCAGGCTGATCAGAATCTTTAGCTCTGACTCCATGGAAGGAGTCTGACTCTCTAATCATGAGGTTCTTAATCAGGGAGACTTGATGAACCCACATTTTTGTTCTATGGTCATATCTTTTGGAGAGGAATCTGGCTTTCATCAAATTCTCAAAGTGAGCCCTGGCTGGCGTAGCTCAGTGGATTAAGTGTGGGCTGTGAACCAAAGCATCGCAGGTTCGATTCCCAGTCAGGGCACATGCCTGGGTTGTAGGCCACAGCCCCCAGCAACTGCACATTGATGTTTCTCTCTCTCTCTCTTTCTTTCTCCCTTCCCTCTCTAAAAATAAATACATAAAATCTTTAAAATAAATCTCAAAGTGATGTGAGTCTTCCCAAAACATGAACAATTACTGCAGAGGAGTCCAAGAGGGCCGCACGGAATCAGGGCAGATGTCCCAACAGACCAGTCAGATCAAGGTTCCTCCCCCAGCCCTGTCTCTCAGTAGATCTTCACAATTTACTCAGCCTCTTTCAGTTTACTCAGCTGCATAATGGGACTACTCAGGCTTACTCACAAGGGGACTGTCCAAGTTCAGATATATACGTATATACATAATGTATAGTGTCTGGCCCAGTTCCTGTCTCACAGAGCAACTCAATACATATTTGTTCTCTTCCCTTCTACATAAATAGCTTTTGATTGCTTGGTGTAATCTCTGTACTAAAGGTTCAGCTATTTAAGAATATTGTGTTCACTCACCCGTCTACTCATTTTAAAATTTTATTCAACATCTGCTATGTGCCAGGCACTGTGCTAGGAACTGGACGAGGGTAAGGTGGCAAAGATCAAAAAAATAATTAAAAGTAAAGACAAATCAATACACTTTTTAAAAAGTCAAGAAGTAGTTTTGAAAATTTCCCATCTTACTGTGATTATGTATTCTCTCTTGGAGATGAGCCTCTGAGGCTATCTACATATTTCAAAATATCTGGATAAAAATGGAAAAACTTAGTCAGTCATGTGGCTTTTTATGCAGAGGATAGCAATCATCCAGATGTTTCCAAATATTTCATGTCCACTGTTATCTAGACAACCGCTTTTGGAAGACTGAAATTTTTATTTTCAATGAGATGGCATTGCTTTGGGTACACACAGCTTTGTCAGTTCATGTTACAAACCAACAAATATCCTGTCTCTGACACAGACCAAATGCAACTTGTGCTTACCAAGCAAAACCAAACCAAAAAAAAAAAAGACAAAAAAATTATGAAAATAAGTGGGTTCTTAAAGCCAAACACACGTACACACACAAACACATACACAAGCCAGCCCTGCTTCGTCTCCCTCCGCCTCCTGCCCTGCCACGCACAGCACCCCCATCATTCCCAGATTAGTGAGGCTTCCCTGAGTGCACAAGTGCTGACCAGTGTGTCCACCACATGCACCAAGGGTTGCCAGGTTAAATACAGGATGCACGGTTAAATTTGAACTTCAGATAATCAACAAATAAATGTTTAGTGTAAGTATGTCTAGCTATTGCCTGGATTTAATAATAATAAATAATAATAATAGCATATTATCTGAAGTTCAAATTTAACTAGACATCCAATATTTTATTTGTTAAGTCTGACAACCACACCCCACCTGTGGCCTGTGACCAGGTTCCTGCCACTCTCACTCTTTCGGGCCTCAGGGCCATTTCCATGCTGGCACATCCCAGTTGCCTGGATGGCACTCCTCCACTGGACCCCACTCCAAATGCCTGCTCTACCAAGCCCTGCCTTTGGTGCACCACCCCCTGGAATTAACCTGCCCCTGTGTTCCGTAGAGGTGATGTAACTCCCAGTTTTTCTTCCCTGTGCAGCCAGAGCTCTTGGTCACTGGTCTCCTCTCCATCAGTGACCTCTGTTACTGGATCTCTTCCCCACCTGGGTTCCCTCCCACCTGATGAAACTGTGACAGAACCCTGACCCCTGTGCAGCCTGCCTGGTGGTTACCCTGACTCACTACAAATTCATTTCCAGACTTCCTAGTGCATCCCCAATAGAGCAGCACACCTATATTCCCATTAACTGAGATAAGGATTAGTGTCCTTCACAAGCTAAAATGAACATTAGCAGAAGGCCAAACTATGTAGTCAAGAAGAGACTACTTATTTCTTAAGAAGAAATGTAACTAAATGAGACTATACCTACCAAACCAATAAACACATTAATCGTTGCTCAAAACATGATTTATCTCAGAGCCTGCAATGCAACCACATAAGCACTCATAATATCAAAGATTTTTTTATTTCCTCTAAATTTGTCAAGGTCTTATTTAATTGCTATAAACACCTACAGACATGAGCAAATTAACACATAAAATTGCAAGATTTTAACTGATACATATTCATGAACTCATGTTGTTGTGATCAGGCATATAATGACCTGAGACATTGATAAATTTGGTAAAAGCAAAAGAAAAACATTCCACACTGTTAAAATTCTCTGCAGATCACAGAATGGAATCTTTGATAAGTCCTTCTCTAAGAGACCATTCATAACAATTATCGTATTTCTGTAATTCTTTCAGGAACAAGAGCAGCAAATGTTTAGTCAGTATGCTTCATAAAAATACTGTCCCCAAAACACTTGAAGGCTAGGTCTGTGCAAAAGAATGCTGGCTTCTTGGAAGGCTAATTCAGGCCCTGTTTCTCAGAATTAGTCTCACATTCTTACTGGCATTCTTGCTTCTATATCTACTGCCACTCAGAAAGGACTGACAGTTTTCCAAGCATTTGTGGGAATCTCAAGTTACAGCTATTCCAGGGTCTTCAAAATGAATGTCTTTGATTTGGAAGGAAATGTACAGCATGTGTTGGCTCACCCAGAGCTGCTGCAATGGAGTTATTTTTGAATCCCCAGCCTGCTAACCTCTCTCGTTAGAACCCATCCATACACAGCTCCTACTCATTAAGTCCTTTGCTCTCACCCAAGCAGGCAGTGACCCTGTGGGCTGGAAACTGTACTTCGTCTGAACATAGCTGCACTGGTCCTGACAACAGAAGCGGAGCGAATGCCTAAGGCAGGCAATGAGGCTGAGAGGCAGAGGCATGGACTGTGACAGGTTCTGCAAATGGCTCTGGAGAAAAGAACTGCAATTCTTTTCCTGCCCACCTATGCAAATGCTAATTGATTTCAGCAGGTCACACAGTAAACCTCAGAATCCTTCTCAACACAACATTCTAGTCATCCATTTCCAATCCACCAGGAGCAGAGCAGGGAGCACTTCAAAATTCATGTGGTGCCTGCTCAAACTGGGCCTACAACAACACTGACACCGAAATAATATTTTAAAGGATTTACTGTGTTTCAGAAACTATGGTTTATATATATATATATATGTGTGTGTGTGTGTATATATATGTATATATATGTATATTTATTGCTCACAGGAGTCCTATAATGTAGGTGCCAATATCACCCCAATGTGTAATAACTTGCTCAAAGTCATATACAATGAGGTTGAAGATCAGCATTCAAATACAGGCCTGTCTCCCTTTACATCCTGTGCTCTGGGCCACAGAGCTGACAGCTGGACTACCATTAAGGGAGGAGAAATTGACAGCTGCTTGTGTTGTGTGGCTTCAAGGGATAATGGGAAGATCCTCTCTGAAAGCAACATCTTCAAGTTCCCCCTCCCAACACAAATCTGTTCGCTTTAACCAGAAGGGAACACTTGGTAGAAGGGAGCAGCATGAAATGCAGAGTCCCCTCTTGGCCCCTTCATAGCAGTCCGACTTCGGGTCAGTAGCTCAGCATCCCTGGAGATGGCCGTGATGATACCTACCCCCCAAGATTGAATGGGCATCAAATGAAACATAGAGAAGCACATTGTGAGAACAGCACGGAGTATGCAAGGGTTAGTTACTATTATTACGATCCAGAATTAGATAAAGTACAAGCTTTCTCCCAGAAGTACATGTATTTAGACAATGAGATTCACACTGCAATTCTGACTAGAGTGGGAGAGGGGTTGGGATACAGGCCATGCAGAAGTCATAAGGAATGGGAAGCCTGACGTGGCTGGGATGCCTGCTCTCTCTCCACTTGTACCCAGGGGTAGCAATGTGGCTACAAGCATCATCCCCAGATATTGTACATACTCAATTTGTATATTATTTTTGTCATAAAATTCCCAAGCTATCATATACTTTCTAATGAGCTCTTATAAAACACAACTGGGATAATTAGAGAGTAGTTATTAACCCGTGGGTGAGGATATAAGCATAGGATCCTTTACGAGGAGCCGAGGAGTCTGAGAGGGAGCCAGGGACAAGAACTAGTACACATACTCCAGTCCCTGGCACAGGGTCAGCATAGACCAGAGAACTGCGATTCTTTCATATTCACATCATGCTTTGCCCTCAAAGGATCTCTGTGACCTCCTCTGTGACCCTCCCAGAATGACCTCAAGAAACCTCTGTGGAGTCTTATCTCCATTTTTAAGCAAAGGCCATCTAATACTTTTGCAAGTCAGTCAAGCCCTCTGTGGGGCACACCTAACCCATGTAGTCCAGTGGCATTTTATCTCTGTAGGCAATCTGCACATTCCATGGGGAATTCTGGTTATTTGGACACTCATCAAGGACAGAAAAAAACCATGGAACCACCCCAAGGGTCTTTCACATTTGTCTGGGTTAC